CTAGTTTGATACCATTTTGTTACACAAGCCACTGCTTATTTTTTCTTATTTTTTTCTTTTTCACACTTTTGTGCATAACTTCATTTTATTCACGATGACTTACATCGCCCTTATTTCTTCCACTCACCAAAACAACACTGTATATAACCGTGCATGTGATTCGCTACTTTTAAGTAGTTGATATCTCAGCTTACACCTCATCTTAGGGCTAATTAGTTTCCCTGTTTTTCCGATACGAGGAACTAATTATCGTTAAGTGATTAATAAACAGAGAACTTCAATATTGTTTGTTTTATAGTATACGGATGTGACGCATATTGCTGGTCCGTCTCTCCCGCTCAACATCGTTCAACATCAGTCGTGAAACTTCCAAGTCATAGATTGCTGTTGCAGGTTCCATTCGAAAACTATATATTGCAATGTCACAATTAACGACTACACGTTGATCTATAATCATCTATTGTCATGCAAATGTAAAGCTGGGTTTTATGTCGAAATTTATCGGCAATATCGATTGCTTTATTCGGCTTTGTCGTGTTGATAGACAAAGGACGGATCGTAGAACCGCTGAGAACAAGCTTGTTCTAACATTCGGCGATTTCCATTGTCGGTGATCATTAGTGTAAAAAGAATTTGTTTGATCCTCGATTTGATTTCTATAAGCTATATTGTTACAAGCTTTGTATAGATTTGTAAAATTGTAGTTTTGAACTTCAACTTCAACAAAAATTAGTGCAATGGATGATGGGTAAAGTGATTGCGGGAAAGTAATTCTACATAATGTCACATAATCGACTGTCATATATGGAAGATTATTTACCCACTTATTAAATACTATAAACAAGTAAAATTGGCACATATTCAAATGTTCTATTATATTAAATCAGTGTCCGCTCATGAATTTTAACTTCCTGATAAGACTGAATTGCGTCAAAAAGGTAAATGAAAAGGTCGTAATGTTGAAAGGCCTTCAGTCAACATAACAACTTTGGTTTCCGAATATATTATAAAGTCACCTAACATTAATATTCACGGCAGGTTGGACCCATTTTTGTGACATTTTTCAAAGCTGCTAACTGGTGTAACGAGCTGAGCTGTCTGAGACACACACACGTTGAATCCAGTTTTTAAGTGTCTTTTATTTCATCCTCGTTCTCCCTATATACATGTGCTCAAGACTCTCATATTTCTAATTACAATAGTGCACTGTTACATTATCTAATCACAATAAGTGCACTTTTCAATAAGTTACATTTTCCCCTCAATTAAGTTTTCGTCCCCGAAAACAACATATTTTTACATATCGACGATTTACCTAATCGTAAGCATAACATTCGGGAGGACGTATGTTTTGCCGAAGTTGATAACGTTGGGGGTCACCTCATACTTTAAACAACACAAAAAGCGAACTTCGTTATTTATATTCGTATATCTAATTCTCAATTACGAGGTAATTCTGAACAAAATGTTACGACACAAATTTTTCACTGTGTCATCATTTCAGTCCTTGACTAGTGAAGCACAAATTATCTCTGCCCGTCACGTACTCGTGTGGTTTTAGACGCAGACGACAACTGACTTAATTTGCGGGTAACTCCTAAATCCGGCTCCTTCAACGTCCTTCTCTTCCAGATTTCCTTATCAGTCCTATAAGCAACAGAAAGCCTCGTGCCCACGCTTGTGTGGGATAACCTTGGGACGCTTTCCAATAACATGGACTATCAAACTGGTTCAATACAATCAAATTCATGAATGAAACAAAGAAAGGCTTAGAGGTAAAAATGACATCAAATTTTTGTCGATTCAAAAGTTTAGGTACATTAATTTTAGCTGCAGCAAAGCTAGACCGAAACTGGCAAACGTCCTTGTTCTTGGTTAATATAAATTAACACGTACCATGTAAATAACGTGGTTCATTCAGCAGCTACTATAGTTCGTAAAGATGCTTAATTTAAGGGGGGAAAAGTTTGATTTGAAATAATCGATTCTTAACTAACTAAAGACTGCTTTTCACTTACGCGTTTTTTATACGCACGTACACGTACGGAAAATTTTAAATGCTTTTTAATTTTTATTATTTAACATCTATATAGGTCAACTAATGCATACTAAAATATGCAGAAAACTAAGTTCCTTCGATTTCATTCACTCAGTTTTTTCAAAGGTAACATTTATAAGGATTTAGACTTTTAAATATGTGTATACGTGTTGATGAAAAACGTGTTAGTGGAAAACAGCCTTAACTTTAGTCTGCACGGCCTATGCAGTTTTTTAAAGCAATAGGTGGAAGCGTGCGAATTTAGGAACATCTGAATATCAACCTTTTTTTCCTCACACAAACAACAAAAACGTATATATATAAATGATAAAACACTAAAGACGACACGACCCACACATAACAACATGATTTACTGAATTCATTGCTCCGTTAGACCGTTACGTGTACCAAGACTAGGTAATGATCCAATTGACAATTCCCACCACTGCATCTATAGGAGATCATCTAATCGACGACGGTCACCACTCGTACTACGAAAACATTGTCCTATAAAGGCGCGCAGCGGCGGGTGCAAATTATGACGGGTGTATTTTTTTAGCCAAGGAGAATTATACGAACAAGGTCAAACTAATTTGACATTTCGGACAACGGTAAAAACATAGCCTCTGACATGAAATAAACTTTGAGTAAACATGTATAAATTGAGTAAAGCTATTATATTGTTCATTTGCAAGCTTTACTTGCACACTGCACGGTTTTTTATTTCATTCCTCATTTTCTATAGCCTCTGTTCAACACCAGCTGAAATTTATGATTTTCATTTTGAGTTCATATTACACACGGGTGAAACCGGATGATCTTGAGAATAGACAGCACTATTTAATCAAATTCCCGTGTGAATAAATGAACATGCATTCTGGTTTTGAATTTGAATAATCTAGTATGATAGGAGCCATGTATATTAAAATTTTGCTAAAGTGCAACGTATATTACGGTAACATCACACAGAGGCTATACTTGGCACTGAAATAATCCCAAAAAAATGAGATATAGGTACATTAGGAGAATGTGGTTGTATATTCATTAAAAGGTAAATCTTAGTTTATACATATATATATTGAGAATTATTGATCAATATCTTATGTCAGCCTGCCTCCTAGTTGATATAGAAGCATCGCGATGCCGATTGTTGTGCAACTGGCACCCCAAAAGCAATACAGGCCAGAGGCAATTGATTTTCCAATTTGATTAATTCAAGTGCCCTGTCGAGACGATGTTTTAATAAATTTGTCATCTGGTGTTACTTAGTACATTCTGTAAAAACTGCATGTAAACATTACATGGCTGTGTTTCTCAGTCGAACCGTGCCGGCATGGCCGCAATTGCATAGGTCAGTATTTGTGATTTCAACCTAAAATTGCATAAGAATCATATTGCATTTTCTCCACTGCATTTCAAACAATGTCAAAATTAACCTTTGGAAAAGGCGTTGTGGTCAATATATAAATATTGAACAATTACGATTGGAATTTCCAATGACTGTAGCACTATTTTGACCGTGTATACACTTCATCCTTCACTTCAAGGTTTGGACTTTGGTTGGGTTTTCAGTTAAATCTATGCATAACCTCGGCAATTTCGCGGTGTCAGTTTTTTCTCGCTAAATCAGTTTCTTATTGTCATTGATTAACGTTTGCAGTTTATTGTGACAATGATCAAACACAGGTGAATGAGAGATAAAAACAATAACCGACTTGCAGTTTACGTTTATTAACTATCGTTTATTTAGTCAGTAACAAAAATACGTCAAGTTTGAAGTTAGTCGCCAGACGCGTACGTTGGTGATAATCGCTCATCCTTTTCCTTTTAGTTTTGCCTATATAGCGTATAGAATCGCAAGGGTAAAACAAAGACTAGAATAAATAAATAAATATCTTGATTGTGCACTTGCCACATTTTACTCTGATTCAAAGACCCAAAAAACATACTCACAATCACTGACACTGCGCATGAGAGAAATACACGATAATCTCTGTGGGAATCACTGACTGCGTGGTCGCAATCACAGCTATTTATTTCCACTGAAATGACAAAGAGCTTCATTTTGACGGTATTTTACCTGAAGTAAAAGGCCGGTGAAGTATAGCGCCTGTAGGCGTACAGTCCAAGCATCACGATTTATTCTCACCCTACTCGAATTTGCAAATTTCTGGTCAGTGTTATTATTTGTATTTTATACATGCACGCGCGGAGAGAATCAAATCGAAAATAGACGAGAATTCGGCAACGCCGACCGAGTGAATTTCCCGTGTGAATAAATCGCACTGGATCTTGTAGTAGATGCATGCGTAGCTTTATCAAATTTATGCCGAGTAAAAGATAATGTCTAATCTATGTACATGAAGGTCGCATTCTATATACGCGAACATATATATGAACAGTATAAACTGTACAATAACGAAAATGAATTTAGGCATTAATTCGATGCCCAAACAGGCAAACAGTGAAACTTGATTGTACAATAACTGAATAACACGTTACTGACATTGTGCGTGATAACAACAAACGTGTTAAAACGTTTTTTTTACACTTTTTATGATGTAAAAAAAATTATCAGTATACAGACAGTAATAACGCGCAAAAATATATTTTTACAATGCAATAAACGTTTAGTTTTGTTGCCGCAATTTGATGAAGTACTATTAACTATATTATATGCTTCATGCCTTCAAACACTCGTATTGTATAGCCATTAAATCGTACTTGTTGAAACATTGCCAAATAATAAATGTCTGTGTTATCTCTGCGGCATAAACTAGGCTACAACTCAGTTGTTAGGGAGTCAAGGAACTCTGGCGGCGAAAACAACACGATTAATGCTGTTAGCAAATTTCAATGCCCAGAAAAACATTGTCCTGACCCACAGCAGGTGACAATTTGTCTTAATTACTTCTACAAAATACGATGAACAATAGCGTGCAATGATCACAAGAGGTTTAAAATACAACTGATTTAGATTTTAGAGAAGTGATATTGTTTAATGCATAAAAATAGTTCATTTTACGAATAAAAACTATTTACAAAGACCAGCATCGTAAATTGATATGTTTAGTTGAGTGTTTAGTGCTTTCAACAGATTCTGCATTATTCACTTGATTTGAGCCAAATGTACACGCATCTCTATACAATTCACTAGAAAGACTATGTTAAAAGAATGGTCGTAAGTCGTAACCAATATATATATGTACACCTTGCATTATCCATTAGAGCTCTCTATCATTAAAAATATTCATCTGTGAAATGTATAAATGATTAAAAAAATATAGACTATGTTTCATCCCTAAAATATAATGCCATGCACACTGCGTGATAGAAAACTATATAAACTATAATATGAATATCAATTGAGCCGACGCGTTGATGCTGTTCTTTTGAAACCACTCGTTGGTTCTCACACTGCCGTAAGGTACGAGCGTTTAATATATGAGCATTTAATATCAATTGCCATTGTCTCAGACAATACAAGCAAGTTTATTCTATTATGGGTGCGGCTTTAATTAACTTCGAACTAGAAATATTGAAAAAGTCAACCTCAAATAAAACGTTTGTTAAAGACAAATCGGTTTTAAGTTTCCTTCCTGCTCGAAGCGACATCTTGTTTGAACAAGGCAGAACTTTAAGTAATGTGATATGCAGTCAAGCGGCACGAGCTATAACACAATACTGAATTGCTCTGTCAGAATCCCTGAGTTTAGGACTTATTATATCATATTCAAACGTATTTTGCTTGTTCGTCTGTGTTGTATACTTAATTTGGCAAGTTTTCACTTAAAATAATTGTGAGAACCGAATGAATTCAATTAAAGTCGCCCACTTAACGGATATTCATATTTTGTCTATCTAAAGCTCAAAGATCACGAAAATATTTCGTTCTACATTGAATCCGAAATGTCTTTCGACCATTAACGTGACGTGAAGACACTATATTTGCTGTCAATCAGAAGTAGTGTGGGAAACTAAAATGTTACACCCAATTTAAATTATTTAAAAAACTATCGATTTTGTTAGGAGGTCCAAGAGCGGCCTCAACATCGCTTAACATTAAGTCTGAATTTATTTGATCAAGCCCAACTCCGAGATCATCAGTGTCCATACCTATAACTGAGTCAGTACCGTCCATTAAACCTACATCAACGTTACTACTTGGCATAAGATCAAAACAGTCTGGTAGTTGACCTGGTCGCAGGTTATTGTTGTTGTTTTGAAGGTTCTCTTTCGATCCAAAGTTGTCAGGAAGACCTTCATCGAAGTTGCCATTCACGACATCGAGATCGGAGCCAGAATAAAAATTCCCCAAGCCAAGACCAGAATCTGCCGACTCTTCTCTGATATGCCGACTTGTAAGAGCGGGTTGCGGTTGTGGTTCGTTGTTTGGTATACCCATGAAAGCTTCCCGACTTAAATTCATTAACATTGAACTACTGTCATCTTCTTTCGTGAGCAAACCACGCTTAATTACAATTTCTTGTTGTAGTAATTGTTGTTGTCTTCGTTGTAACATCTCTTTCTCCATTTGCAGTCGGTGTAGCTGCGTCTGATGCCGTTCAATGCCGTTATTGTGTGGTGTTTGCGGTGCTGGCGGAGGAGGACCTGCGGTGCGGTTCTGACCTGTGTTCATATTCGATAGACGAGGGTCGGCCCAACTTGTTGTTCGATTTAAATGGTTGATAAAATAGACCTCTCTACCAGGAGTGACCGCTTGCTGCCAACCTTCAGGTAATGCTTGTTGGTTGGAACTAAGATTTGATGTTGATCGTGTCTTCCTTGGGTCTTCCCAAGTTGTAGATTGTTCAATATGACTGTAAATGAAAGAAAAACTTGTACTTATAATTTTGCCCAAGGGTTTATTGCTTGACATTGGTTTAAGTGCTTTTACCTCCTCGCGGATCATGTACACGGTGGTACCAAATGCGTAGTTTCAATTCGTATTTATTGGATAGGGCTATGCGATTTGGTGATTGGGGGAAACAACTCGGTAACTTATGACAATGTCATACTGCTCCACACTCATCGGCTATATACGTAACGTAATTATAGCAAGATTTTTTGATTCGGGGAAACAAACTCATAAAATCATGGATGCGATATTTGCTGAAGGCAATCTCGCAGTATTGCAATAAAGTTCTACGGGAATGCCTCGTTAGACGAGACACTATTAATTCCTGATCATCATTTAAAAACTTCGTCATATTAAAACCGTGCGCCATATTTCTTTGTTTGTCAAGTGTAGATTAGTGTAGCGATATACGTTTACTAGGCAACTATATCTTTTCTTCACGCGAACATGTTTTCATTATATCACATCTAACGCACATCATAGTCCGAGTTGTTCGAGCACACTACCGTTATGGTAAAATTATTAAAAAGTACGGCAAGAGGCCCTGATAAAATGCTCTAAATTATACTGGTACTCGAATAAATCGTTTTGAGAACTCCCACATATATTATGCACGTCAGTATATTAGGCCGATTGTTCAGTTGCGAATGACAAAACACATTTACAATTTACGATACAGAATTTTTGATTAGATCAAAGTTTAAACAGCTGGCACTGAAGAGTTAGAAACAGTAGCTTTATGGTTATAATTTATGGCTTTATGATTGTAATTCAGTATCTATGTTGGTAAATTCACTTTAGAAGTCGATGAATTTATTTTGCTGTAGTATTGAACAACTACTATACGTTTAACACTTACTTCATAAAATATTTTAGTCCGCTGTGTGTGTGTGCGACTTCCCATCCTGGCGGCAAAGGACCAACGACATCATGATTCGATTCACTCGCATCGTAAGATTGAGATCGCATGTGTAAATTTTGCATAGCGTTATTAACAGCTTTCTTGCTTGATTTAGGAACGGTGAGCGAAGCAGGCGATGAATGGGCCCTTGAATGAGCAATGGCGAGACCTGTTGCTGGATTAATCTGTGGCGCAGCTTTCACATCTTGTCTTCCTTCTATATCTCCTGACCCAGGAGTAAAGAACGATGGTGGGAGTTTTCTCATACGCATCGGCAAAACGGGTTCTTTCTTCAATCCAGCCGTCTCACTAGGTCGAATGACGCGAAATAACGCTTCGAGATCATTTTCAGAATCTCCCTGTATGTTCACAACTGCCTTGTTGTCTTTCAGTGCCATTCTGTTATACGTCCTTATCCTTGATCCTAGTTAGCAATGTTGCCTGGTCAGTTCAAGGAAGCAAATGTGTGGGTAGGACAACCGATCTATACACAAATACGCCAAATCATTACTCATCTTAGGTGGTGGTCACGGGTGTGAACTGACGTCACATTAGCCTTTTGGGATGTCGTTGACATGACGACAACCAATCCTCAGCGGTCCCTCTTGTGTTTTAAATATATGTATATCTCATTGTCTAAATGCTAATTGTCACAAATAAAGTATCTTCCTTTATATACCTGGTCTTTTCTTTAATAGCGTGTCTCGGTATAGAAGCGTCGAGCAACTAAACAATCACATTTGTGTGAATTTGCTGAAGCGTGGCTGGACGTCTTTATGCCAATACGTCAAAGTGGAAAGCGTCACCTTTTGGGTTTTGACTTGGCATAAATACCCACTCATTTCTTCGCTTTAAGTTTAAAAACATTCAATATAAGTATACATCATAGTTCCTGCTAGCATAATGTGATATTCCTCAGATTGCCGTCACTCGATACATTACCATTACATTAAATTAATTTTTGCAGTGTCATCTTACTTTCATCGAGACGAGTTTGACACAATTTGAAAAGAATCGGATGTGAGGTTAATAGGTCTAATAACCGCCTAAGAACCTAAGGCTGTGTCTTGTGTATATTACATATAGCAAGTGCTCGATCATTGCTTGTGATATTGTTAGGTTATAATGACACAAGATCGATCGTTTCGTCGGCAATGGTACGTCAGGAAGCCTGCCTGCATGGTTCGTGTTCTCATGCAAGCGATGTTTACACGCTTTTTAATTTTGGCACCCATACGTCGTCTGGCGATAGATGATATCGCGTCTTTCCCAGAGAATTGCTCTGGGAAAATCAACTCCATGAGATACACAATAATGGCTAAAGCTTGCAAAACATGTACTTCGTTACATGAACTGCCTAAAAATTTGTGTTTGATATACCTAGCCAAAAAAGCTTGTGTTTTCGTGATGTCAGACCAGTTTAAGCGACAACCCGCCGTGAAGGTGTTTGTCATAGGATAAGAGTGTTGTTAGATGAAAACCATGTGTAAATATGGCTCTGTAACCTGAGCTTCTTACTAGCCAGTTTGCCGCCGTTTTTTCCCGCGTTACTTGCATCACGCAAGGACACAAGCAAACAGGTTTACATGACTTGTAATGAAGAAGCAACACTGGTACGCTCTAATAAACACTGGCCTGAACAACATGAGAATAGATCATGCCGATTAGATAATAATTAGTGAATGCTCACTGCGGGTGTTTTGTTGGCTTGTCGCTAATTTTCGCCCATTCATATCTAGTCGATGGGAAAGTTACCATCTTTATAAAAAAGGCAACAACAAATATTGATTCCTAATTTCTGGATCAATCTGTGGGTATGGTTCATTTATTTATTGCAAAAGTGCTTTTGGATAGAAAGTGCACGTTGGAGTCAGCATATGAAAGCTGAATCAAAAAAAAACATGGGTTGTGCATAACTGATAACACAAATTGAAAATACGAACTTTCATGAGCATTGCATGAGAACGTCTCTATATTTCAAACCCAAACGCTTGGTACAGTGAAAGTGTTTTGTTCAAATACTATGCAATTAATCAAAGGGACAAAAATAGCCTATTATACATTTACATTTTTAATATAATGAAACACTGAGATTATACATAAAATATTTTTATGGAAAGGATGGGAAAACGAAATGTGTAGGCGTATACGCGATCGTTTTAATATCAAACGAAAAGGCTGAAATTTGGAACCACAATTGAACCTACACTTGTGCGCCTGTGTACACCACCATCAGATGATATTTTTGATTTCTAACTTAAAATTTAGCCCCATAAACAAATTTTCTTGTCACAAGAAAAATTTCCTCGTGTGAACAAGAATATTTCCTCGTGTGAACCGGGTTCAAGGTTTATTGACATACAGACTTTAGCTGCATGCATTTATGCGTGTATATAAATAAGCATTATATCCTATAGCTATGGCGATCGTAATTTATTTTATTTTATTCATCAGTTACTGCTGTATGTAAACACACATATGTAAATGTAAATCAAATGTAAATCATGCTCGAGGCCTTGTACACATACTCAAGGTTATGTTTCTATACCCACATAACGTGATAGAAGAATAATAAAACGATATGAAAGATGTGACATTAACATGTGTATAGTTGTTGCAATTTTTATTTTTGAATATAATAGATTGCACCGTAAAAATATACTGATGGTGCGAAAAAAGGTCGTACGGTGCTAGCGCTAGGTAAAGCTCTTTTGCGCAAATCCCAAAACAGCGAGCACGTTGTGATAAAATAATACAAAAGTCTAGAGGTATGCTTTCCTTCCATGTCACGGATACATGCGTGATTGCTAGTTCGATTAAATTTTATTTCACTATTATTTTAAATCATTGTCTCGTGTCCTGTGGCGCCCAGCATGGTACAACTCATATTCGACCACCTAACTGTCATGCAACTTTCGGCAAGTTTTCTATGTTCGTAGGTGTCTCGATATTGACAAGCAAAAGGTAAACAAATTCGCCATCATGCAAATTGAAAGCATTTACAACAGATTAAATAAATTTTAACTTATATTAGACATGCGTTTCAGTGATTGCATGTATTCAGACTTTATTAATTACAGTTTGCCTTACTTGGCTCTATGCCCAGAGTAATTGAGATGCAAATTAAAGCGATTAACTTTAGTTGTTCTGTCACTTGAGTGTTATTATCTCTAAACAATTTTCTATTATAGAAAAATCTAGATCTACCAAAGCTGATTGTATTGGAAAATAGTTTGCTAGAATGAAAACATTACCTGTGACACTGAATGTTTTAATTCTTAGCTTTTTATCCTTGCTTTCGCTTGGGTTATGTAATTGCAACATAGAAGTTCTGACCTCCCCTCTCTCCTCTCCCCTCTCCCCGTTTAACAACTAACGCTTTTGATCGTTCCTCTTCTCGCCTGACATCCAAAACCAAAACTTGTACTGCTTCTTAGATCGCACTTAAGTGTCAGCTTGACATTATTATCAACGCCAAATGGATTTGAAACCGTACTCAGATGTATCCTACGTCAAAGTTCTGCATGTCTGAGCACTGGATAAGTGGGTGCATTTATGTACCGTTCTTCCTACCGTTTAAACAATTTATTTACTCGAATTAATATACTGAGACTATGCGTAACCCGATTAAACACGTACAACGCTATCCATGCAACTGAAACCCACTGTAGAAATGTTAGATTTAACACTAAGAACCATGTTTGTTGGTTTTGTGAACTTTAGTCACCCGCTGACTTTGTACTGACGGATTATATCTTATTCGATGATGCACCACGATAATGGAATGATTTATCTCATTTTTTTACTGTCTTTGCGGTTCTAATAGTTTTCCTACAGAAACATAGTGTGTGGTAACTTTCTCTTAAGATTCCTGTGATTAGAATGTTGATATTTAGACTAAACAGTCTGTAATTATACACGAAAGACCCCAAGGATACCGTGAGATGATGAATTAAGTATAATATGGATCAGATTTCATCATGATCACCATTGACAATACATGCATTCATCGTCACAATCATCAGACCAATAAAAAAGAATTGAACAATTGTCATTGAAGAGTTAAAACGTATAAATACATGCGGCAGTCGTGAATTAAGGGAGCTGTTCGAAGATATATAATTGTTTTGAACTGCATGTTTTCATAGAAATCCACTTTTAGCGTGCAGAGTTTCTCTCTACAACGATTCATAATTGAGAAATAAGAAAATATCAGTCGATCATCGAAGCAAATATTCTACTCCGAAATATAACTTTTTCTCATAACATTCTTCTTATATCTTGGATATCTTATTGTGACAACAAGAAGTCATTTATACTGACCCAAAAATAAGAAGAAAAAATTAAATATAAGATTTTTCGATAACATTGTTTTATATTTTGAGCTAGCTATATATGGATAAATTATTTTTGTGTTTGTTTAATATATTTTGTTCATATAATTTTCGCGTTGCATTTTTTGAAAGATGCACTAATACCTAGTATTGCATGGTTATACTTGGTGGAATTACTTTAAACCTTAAAGTCTATATGTTATTCTTACAACAGTTTTTCTCAGGCTAAGCCAAACGTGTTTCAGATAAATGTCACGCGATGTGAGAAGTGCGTATATCATATCTTCATTAAGGTTCATCTGCAATAATTTAAAAATAGTTCATATATGAATTGGCACAAGGATTGAGTAGAAAGTGGGTTCGGAAACCTCATTTATGACATGCCTTTTTTTTCTATTTTCGTCTTTGCTGTGAATGTCATGGAACGTGGATGTGTAGAGGAAATGGCGCATGCCTTCCTCCGAGCAGCAGAGGAGAGCACGAATCAAAGGTCGATATATTGAGTGATTTCCGGAGATTCATTTTTACGAACACATTTAAGCTGTGCTTACTCTAACTATGGCTTTCACGTACGTTTCTATAGCGGTGTATAACTGAGATAGTCTAGCAGAGATTTGTATAGGCATATTATGTATGACGAATATAGCTATATAGCTGACATTCAAACAACTCTTCAAGGTAAATGATATGCATGACGTTGTCTGCACGTTTTTGCACCGTAAGGGCTAAATACATTATTACGTATCATTTGACTGAAACAATTTTGCGGTCAGCTTTTTGTAAAACATATAATGATGTTATCGTCACACTCTATTTAAGGAGAACTGTCTCCACAAGGTTACACGAACGTTTGCCGGATAATTTGCTTGCCAAATAATGCAGTTATAATCTTCAAAAAACTACAGCCTTTTTAATTGAAAAAAAGATTATTGATACATTTTACAGTATGTAGTTTTCATATATATATATGCGTGATGAAATGTATATGATAAAGGTTTTGCAACTATATCGTTTATATGAACATATTAGCATATTAGCAAGCCTTCGAATCGTTTACTATAAACCAAAGATCATTTCAGTAAAATCATATATTTTAATTTAACTATGTATATACCTATGGGGACGCTAATGTGGTAATAATGATAATAAACTCTCATAATATATATACCACACGAGTTTTACTTATTTCAGAGTGGTTCTCTATTCTTTGAAAGACAGTTACAGATTCTAAGTATTTATACCTACTGGAATATAAAACTATTTTTAGGAATATAATTTGTTCCGTTGTTTACCGGTCGCGAGGGAGTCTACACTTGACGATAGTGCTGAACCTATTTCCTAGGCGTTTCCATTTACATGGAGACGTAATTACGTTGGCATGGATAACAAAGCTTTGTATACAACTGTTCATGCGTTAAATCACATCTGCTGAAAGGACTTATTGGTAGTATTAAGCTAGTTCAAAAGATTAGCAACGTTAGCAAAAGGTAAGAATTGAGAAATTCTCATGCGCCCCTCGGTCAGCATCAATATATGATGATACAAATTATTATTTTTATTATTGTTTTAACAAGGTCGTTTTATCAGTCTAGTACAAAAGTACAAAAGTTTTAATTAAACATACGATCTTATTAGA